CATGTGCTTTATTTTCCTGCATTGAACTTTATCCTCAGAGTTAATTGGGCAGATTTCAGCACTTCTTGCTCATGCTATCCTTTCTGCCTTTTCAGTTTCTGTTCATCTAGCCTCATTCATCAGCCTGGCAGACGATTTTTGTTTCATGAATTTTTCTATGACTGTTCTGACTCCATTGACCTTATGTGTTAGCAATTGTTGTCTAGTCGTGCAGAAAAACTTAGTCCTTAATTTTACATGGCTTTTTTATGGAAGATAATTTTGTCTCATATAATGTGCTTAAGGGGAATAATATATAATATGTATGCCCTATCCTTGCATAAATTGAAAACATTTTAGCTTAGAGATTTTAACACACAACGAAGTACTTTATACCATACCAATTATTTCTTCTTTGAGACTTTGACACAGTAAGGTTTATATCTAAATGTATTTAGCAATTAAATATCAGTCTAAACCAATGAGTCTAATAGAGGAGAATCGTTCAAATCCATGTTTATGTTTTTCTCACTATGAAAAGAATCTAAATTGGCCTTTTTCACTCCGCATCCAGAACTGTATTCTGGACTGCTACCAGTTGTCAGCTGAACAGTTGGCTGCAGCTTGTCTGAGGAACCATAGCACAGCCCTCAATATGAGTGCTCAGCAGACGCGGCTCTGTGAAGGCAGCACGACCAGCAACAGTTGCTCAGAGGAGAGAACTGATTTCAGAACTCGAATTAGCAAGAGGAGCCTAGGGTTTTCCAGCTCAAGTGTCTTTAGCCTGTCCTGCTGTCATGTCCAGGTTACACACTATTCAATCCAGGAGGCGCTATTACATTTAGTACATACATAGTCATTGCCTACTGAGTCCGCACAGATGGAAAATGTCAGTTTATAAATTTTATGCCCCCCATTTGCTCACTCTCATGGTGAGCAAGAATGATTGGTGCAGCTATGGAGACTTAGTTCCATTGGGCATGCCATCTGCCTAACATACAAATTTTGTTAAGATATACAGATAGAATTATTATTACTAAAGCCAAAATTTTATGTAGCTCCACTATGTTCCACGTGCTCTTCTAAGGGCTTCATGTTAGTCCCCAGTTAAACACCTGGTTGGGGGAGGGACTCATGCCAGTAATCCTAGCATTTTTAGAAGGCTGAGGCAGGAGGATCGCTTGAGCCCAGGAGTTTGAGACCAGCCAGAGCAATATAGTGAGACCCTGTCTCAAAAAAAAAAAAAATTTAAACACTTACTGAGCATGGTGGTGCATGCCTGTAGTCCCAGCTACAATGGGAGGCTGTGGTAGGAGGGTCACTTGAACCAAGCCTCTGCACTCCAGCCTGGGTAACAGAGCGAGACTCTGTCTCATAAGTAAAACGTTCTGTATAGATTCCCATAGAATTAGTTAGACATCAGGCATAGAATTATTAGCCACTTGATGTCTGCCTTGAGTGTAAAACATGTAATAAGGGGCAGCTTTAAACCATTTCCATCAATAGCCTCTAACTTCTCAAGAAGGTTCTTATTTCATGAATTTCTAAGCAAGAGACTACCTGGATTAAGACCATTTGGTGGATACCATTTGAGATGAGGAATCTCAATTGGGAAGCAGGGAGACCTCTGCTTGACTGGAGCTGCCAATGATATAGTTGAGTGTCCCCCTGAAAGAAGCTTTAGAACAAGACTTTCATCATGCCACATCTCTATGGAAAAGGAAATTCTTTAAAAGAAAACAAAGGCAAACAATTGATAATCTGATTCTCATGGGAAAGTTTTTGTTATAAAAGAAAACAAGGACTGGGTGCCATGGTTCATGTCTGTAATCCCAACACTTTGGGAGGCTAAGGTGGGTGGGTTACCTGAGGTCAAGAGTTCAAAAACAGCCTGGCCAACATGGTGAAACCCTGTCTCTACTGAAAATACAAAAATCAGCCAGGTGTGGTGGTGTGCACCTGTAGTCCCAGCTGCTTGGGAGGCTGAGGCAGGAGAATCACTTGGACTCAGGAGGTGGAAGTTGCAGAAAGCCAAGATGGCACCACTGCACTCCAGCCTGGATGACACAGTGTGACTTCATATCAACAAAAAATGAAAAACAAAGAAAAACAGTGTATACTGGTCCAAAAAAGAAGAAAGAAAAGAAAGAAAAGAAAGAAAGAAAGAAAGAAAGAAAGAAAGAAAGAAAGAAAGAAAGAAAGAAAGAAAGAAAGAAAGAAAGAAAGAAAGAAAGGACAAAGTATACTGGTCAGTATCGTCACAGTGAGATAGTCCCTCTTTGAGATTAGAAAATAACAGTATACTCAAAGTAGCATCAATAAGAACCAATGTAAAATAGACAAGATTCACTATCTACAAAAGTCATCTGCACCAAGTAGCAACGTATGAGTGTGTGGTTGAGAATATGGTCTATAATATGTGTCCTAGAAGGAAGAGGCCTCAAGAGAAAGGTCAGAGCTGGAAATGTAGATTAGGGAATCTAGGTCAAAGTTTTGAGGTTTTTCAGAGTCCCGAGAGAATTTAAAAAGTGAAATAGCATCCGGGTGTGGTGTCTCATGCCTTTAATCGCAGCACTTTGGGAGGTCAAGGCAGGCAGATCATGATGTCAGGAGTTCAAGACCAGTCTAGCCAACATAGTGAAATCCCGTCTCTACTGAAAATACAAAAAATTAGCCAGGTATGGTAGCACATGCCTGTAATCCTAGCTGCTTGAGAGGCTGAGGCAGGAGAATCACTTGAACCCAGGAGGTGGAGGCTGCAGTGAGCCGAGATCATGCCATGCACTCCAGCCTGGGTGACAGTGGGAGAGTCCATCTCAAAACAAAAAACAAAAACTAAACAAAACAAAAACCAGAAAGGAGTAGAGCTGAACAACACAGGTTGCTGCATTTAGAAATGAAGTGGGGTCAGAGGAGCAGAGGGAGCATTTGGTCACCGCTCGCAGTTGCTGCTGAGTAAAGCGGAGTAAAGTCCTTGACGACCCTTGGAGTTTTTTATTGGAATTATTAAAAATCAGATTTCGGTATAAAAAACACAATAAGTGATGAAAAATAGATTTCTGGATGAGACCATGTGTCATAGAGTCCAATGGAAGGGGAGAAACAGGGTAATAGAAAAGCCACAAAAAGTAGACAAAGGTTGTGCTTTTGTTTATTATAGAAAAAATAAACTTTATTTAAAGAGAAGTGGTTAAGAGAAAGAGAAAAACTGAAACCTATGGGTGAATACTTAGAATGACAGTATTTAGCTCAGCCTGAAGACAGATGAGGATCAAAAATGTAACAGGAACTAGATAAGAGTTTTCTAAAAATCGTGTTAGTAAGACAAAATTTAAGAAAACTTGGAATATCTTAAATATTAATGACAATGTTTCTAGAGTATCTTTAAAAACTAAATGTAAATATATAACTACTCCCTTTTTTTTTTTTTTTTTTTACTAACCCTTAGTATTTTATGTGTAAAAACCCTCATTTGTAACAAAGATTTTTGGCAGTTTAAATTTCAGAAAAGATAATGATGAAAGTATGAATCACTTTTAGCAGTATTAAGAAAAATTACTATTTTTGAAATCTGCCCTTCCTGGCATCGGGTTTATAAAATGCACTTTATACACCTGCCTAAATAAGTATTACTCATCCACTTATGAGAAAAATATTTGAGATAAAAGAGGGTCTCTAGATTTTACAAAAATAATTTTAAACATTTTTTTTAAGACTGAAGAAAAAAAGGAAGAATTAAGAAAACTTGTTGAGTTAATATCATCACTGGAATGTAATGTGAATCGAGTAAGAAAGAAAAATCATGAATTAGAACAAGAGGCAACTGGGTAAGGTTTTCCTATTGTAGAACATGTTAACCATTTATTAATTGATTTAACTCTAATTTTACTTGACTAAAACCTAGATACAAATTCATGTTATGTCTGTATTTTCATAATTAAATGAATTCTATTTTGAAATGTATTTTACAAGCTCACAACACAACTTTATAGGCATCTGCGTCGTGGGGGCGGGAGTCAGCTGAGCTGCTGGGGCAAGGTGAAAGTTTTTTGAAGCCAAAATATTATACTTATTTTATTTTATTATTATTTTTTTTTTTTGGTGGAGAACAGAGTCTGGCTTGGTCTCCCAGGCTGGAGTGTAAAGGCCCGATCTTGGCTCACTGTAACCTATGCCTCCAAGCAATTCTCCTGCCTCAGTCTCCTGAGTTGCTGGGATTACAGGTGTGTGTCACCATGCCTGGCTAATTTTTGTATTTTTAGTAGAGACAGGGTTTTTCCAAGTTGGTCAGGCTGGTCTCGAACTCCTGACCTCGTGATCTGCCCGCTGCAGCCTCCCAAAGTGATGTGAGCCACCGCGCCTGGCCACTTACTCTTTAATGGTTTTGAAAACAATGACAAAGCCTTGGACAAGTAATGTCAAGTACACTCTTCATTATCTAGCTTGAATTTTGATTTCTGAAGATATTTTTGCTGTCTGTGGTCATTTTTTCTTCCCTTTGTAGTATCCTCTGCTGCTTTCAAATTCTTTAAAGACCTATTTGTGTCATTCTTTAACATCAAAATTTATCTTGATATGTAGCTTATATTTTGTTTCTGCTTCTTTCTTTTTCTTTTAGATATAAAACATATCGTGGAAGTTTACTCATTTTACACGGTACCTCCGTTGTATACATGAAGTATACATGTTATAAAACTTCTGTTTTACATAAATAAATTTCATATATATATAAATATATGTAAAACCTAAAGTAAAATGAGCATTCACATTTTGATCACTTTTTTTTTTTAATGGAATGTGTCTTTGAAGCCCTGAACACAGCTACTTCTCTATTTATTTACTGAGCACTTAAGTTTGTTTTTGAATCTAATCGACATTTTTCTGACATTGCCTTTCTCTACATGGTTTTGTATCTCTTTCATTTTGTTGACATCATGTCAGCAAAGATCTCTAGATCTCTTCTTCAAAGTCTTTAAATCATCACACATCTCTCTGCCCCTTTCCCTTTTTCTAAAACAGCCTGTTTCCTTTTTCTCCTCAACTCAGATACTAAAGATGTTTTCTTCTCTTTTTCTACATTGAATGATCTCCTTGATGCTTTTTGTGTGTACTTTTTTCTCTTCTTATAGACTGCGGTCAATGGGTGTCAAAATGTATTTTTGTGTCTTTTTCAAACATATGTGTTTTACTTTTTTATCTTGGTTACTCATCTCTGGGTTATGGCTTATATTTAGTAATAGGTTATTTTACTTAGCATACCAACATGGATATGAATAGTTTATTTACAAGAAGTGTAGTTAGGCCAGGTGTGGTGGCTCACACTTGTAATCCCAGCACTTTGGGAGGCCAAGGTGGGTAGATCATTAGAGGTCAGGAGTTCAAGACCAGTCTGACCAGTGAAACCCCATCTCTACTAAAAATACAAAATGAACCAGGCGTGGTAGTACACGGCTGTGATCCCAGTTACTTGGGAGGCTGAGACAGGTGAATCACTTGAATCCAGGAGGCAGAGGTTGCAGTGAGCCGAGATCACACCATTTCAAGTCGCCCTGGGCGACAAGAGTGAAATTCCATCTCAAAACAAAACAAAACAAAATGTATGGTTATAATATCACTTTACCTGCCATATATGCCATAAATTGTTCTTCATATTATTTATCTAAGATTGTAATTTCATATAGAATGCTTTCAAACTATGTTCAGTTGAAACTGAAAAGATCATAGCTTATAGATTTGTTTCTTTGATATGCCATAACATAACATCTTTTTAAACAATTATTAAATAGTTACTCTTAAAAATACTTGACTTACTAATTATGTACATTTTTGCAGATATAAGAAACTCCTGGAAAGGACAATAAATATGTTATATGTATTTGGAAATGAAGAGTTTGGTTTCCATGGAGACTTAAAAACAGATAAACTGAAAATGGATATTCTGATTAAGAAGCTAAACCATAAGGTAATTTTTTTTAAAAAAAATTATTTTATCTTAAGGTCTAGATTACCTGAGCAAGGCATGCAGGTGTGTTACATAGGTAAACGTGTGTCATGCCATGGTGGTTTGCTGCACCTATCAATCCATCACCTAGATATTAAGCCCCGCAGGCATTAGCTATTGATCTTGATGCTCTCCCTCCTGACCCCAACAGGCCCCAGTGTTTGTTGTTTCCCTCCCCAAGTCCGTGTGTTCTCATTGTTCAGTTCCCACTTAAAAGTGAGAAGATGCAGTGTTTCGTTTTGTGTTCCTGCATTAGTTTGCAGAGGATAACAGCTTCAAGTTCATCCATGTCCCTGCAAAGAGCATGACCTCATTCGTTTGTATGGCTCCATAGTATTCCATGGTGTATATATACCACATTTTCTTCATCCCGTCTATCGCTGATGGACATCTGGGTTGATTCCATGTCTTTACTGTTGTGAACGGTGCTGCAGTGAACATACAAATGCATGTATCTTTATAATAGAGTAATTTACATTCCAACATACGGTAATTTTAAATCGGTTTTGGGATTAAAAATCACATAATTTGGGAAAATATTAATAATGAAAAAACACAAATTCTGCCAAAATATGTTGAGAAAATAGAGGATAAATATATCTTTTCAGATTTTAAGTGCATCAGGCTCTTAGTTAATCTTCCCCAGAACTGGGAAAACCTAGAAGGGGAGAGATTGGGCTACATTAATGAGGGCCATTTCAATCTCTTGGCCCTGCAGCGGCCATTTCAAAATATGTCAAAAATATATTTAGGGGTTAAATATTTTTATTTCCTTCAGCTTCTTCTCTCTGTGATGCTGGACCGGAATCGGGTTAGAAAGTGAGCCACATTATAAGAGTCAATAAAACCCATCTGATGAGATTTTATAGTTTGAAGTGTGTGATTCCCAGACCCTGTGGATAGAAATTGGAGCCAAAGAAAACAAGGTCTTATTCCTCAATATAAATCTCTCAGTGCTTTAAGCAGTGAAAGAAAGATTTTTCATTTAATTTTACTGAGTTGATACTAATGAAAAGAATAGTTTTCAAAACATAAATCCTTTTTTCTATAAGAAGGACATGCTGTTGATTCTCTTAGGCCTTGACCTCTGGCCAGTGATCTGAAACCAAGCAACATCTGTCTCCAGATCACTAGTACCAAAATCACTAGTACCAAATTAATTAGGGGTGGAGGATAACAGGTTTATTGAGAAATAATGAGCACACCATGCAATTCACTAATTATAATACACAATTCATTCACTTTCATATTTTGAGAGAGTTCTGCAGTCCTCGTTACAATCAATTTTAGAACATTTTCATCACCCTAAAAACAAACCCCACATTATTTAGCCATCTTCACTAGTTTCCCCTTCCTCCCTCAGCCCTAGGGAACCACCCACCTTCTTTGTATAGATTTGCCTATAAGCCTCTGAAATAAAAAGCAAGCGGTCTACAGTGACTGGCTTATTTCACTTAGCATAATTTTTCATGCTGCATCTGTGCTGTAGCAGGTATTGATGCAGAGTTTTTGCTCCTTAGTTCAGCTAAATCTCGGTTCTTCTGTCATGACCAGGAAAAATTAAGCACGAAGACACATTGAAGGGTGAGGAGGACAGAATTTATTAAGTGAAAGGAAAGTGCTCAGCAAAGAGAGGGGTCCTGCAAACAGGTTTCCACCTCACAATTGAATACCAGGAGCACATGAGCTGAAGTGGTCAGGCTCCTCCCCTGCATAAGGTGGGAATTCCTGGTGACTCCTCCCCATCCCGCCAGTGCTTGTAGGCCTCCAGTCCTCTGCCGGCATGTCCAGGCAAGACAAGTCCAGGTTCCCTTATCTGCACATAACATTGCAGAAATATCTATTCAAAATCTTTGCCCATTTTTTAAATTGGGTTATCTGGTTGTTTATGAATGGCAGACATTCTTTATATGTCCTATATATGTAAGTCCCTTATCAGATATATGCTTCTCAAATACTTTCTTCTACTCAGTGTCTTACCTTTTCACTTCTTGATACTGTCTTCTCAGGCACAGCAGTTTTCAATTTTGAAGTCCATTGAATCCATTTTTCCTTTGGAGTCATAGCTAAGAAAACACTGTGAAATGCAGTCACAAAGATTTATGCCAGGGTTTTCTTCTGAGGGTTTTATAGTTTTAGCTGTTACAGTTAACTGTTTTGAGTTAATTTTTAAATAAGATATCTGGTCCAGCTTTATTTATTTTTTGCATATGGATACCCAGTTTTCCCAGCACCATTTGTTGAAAAGACTATTCTTTTCCCATTCTGTTCTTTTGTTAACCTTGTATAAAATCAATTGACTGTAAATGTGCAAGTTTATTTTTAGATTATCAACTCTTAGCTTGTTTATGTCTATTCTTATGCCAAGGCCAAATCAAATTTAATGAGGAGTTTTTTTCCATCATATTGCATATTACCAGATGTCTTATGTCATAATAAAAATTAAATGTAGTGGAATATCTTTAACTTCACTTTTTGTGTCTCGAAGATGTCTCTGGCCAGCTTATACCTTACTTAGTCTAAGACATGATGGGAAGTCAGGCTTACAAGACACACTTGATTTCTTTTTTTCTCCATTCCAACCTTTAGTCTCTTTTCCATTGCCCCACTCTATAGTTATATTTGCGGAAAGTTTTGATCACAGGATATGCTGACGTAGTCTAATATTTAGTGCATTATGTTTTGCTAATTCATTGTACTTCATAGAATCTTCCATAGCTGTCTACCATCCAGGAAGGAGAAGTTTAAGTCTGAGCTGCCAGCTTTCCTCAGTGGAAATCAAGTGAAGTCATCATCTTTCAGTTCGCAGATCCTCTTTCCACCTGGTAGCTGGTTCTCTTGGGTAGCATTGTGGCTAATACTTTTCTTGGTGCCAATCTTGCATTCACAGAAACCACAGTTCCCTGTATTGACCTCCTTTTGCTGAAACAGAGATGCACAGCTCTGCTTTCTAGTTCAGTAGATGATTCTTGGAATATAAAGTTTAATTCATTCCAAGAAAAAGTCTTAGGAGTGCAGCACTTCAAAATCAGGTAATGTTCAGGCAATTTATCAGAGACACATAGTAGATTAGTATTTTGACTTTTGAAATTTCAGTGTGCTATAGAGACACATTGTGGCATAACATAGAGATGGGATGGTCTTAACTTCTCCATACAAACAAGCTTGAAGTAAGGTGAAGGAGAAATTGCATTTGATGTCTTAGCACTCAAAGCGTGCTGTTTATTTTACTTCTTTGAAGACTAAAAATCATTCCATAATGTTCTCCTTATTTCCTCACTGAGAAAAGGAAAATGAAAATTGAACACTAGATCGATTAATAAATACTCAAAGCTTCTTCTTTTAGAATTTTAGTTCATTGAAATCAGGTAAATGTCTGATTTTGGTTATGTAACCAAGTATTTCTAGTTGTTTCTCAAATCATATGTCTTCTTGCTTCCCAGTCTGGTCTCCTAACTTGAGGGGAAATTGTAAGGAGACACCCTGGCCTTGTTATCAGAGCTCATAATTGAAGGGGGTTTTAGGAAAAGTTCTTCCTCAGCAGCTTCTGTCTCTCTCCTGGTTATCTGCTGCGTCTCAGTAATGTTTGCCATCAGTGAATAAATCTCATCATTTATTAGATACTACTTTAAAGGAGACTCTTTTCTGCTACACAAGTTATGTTTCCTGTCCTTTATTTTTCTAACAATTACCCAGAGTTTTGTGACTTACAAGAAAAACATTTCGTTTGTTCATGAACCTGTGGTTTGGAAAAAGGTTGGCCAGGAGAGCTTGTCTCTGCTCCCCTCAGCTTCTCTAGGAACAGCTGATCATTTGGGGAAATGGAATCATCTGAAGCTTTGCTCACCCACGTGTTTGATGGCTGATACTGGCCATTGGCTGGAACCTTGGTTGGGGCAGGCAGCATGAACACTGACCCTGGCACTGCCAGGCTGTCTTCGTGGCCTGATCTCTCTCACAATCTGGGGGCTGAGTTCGAAGGGAAAGCAGTCTGAGATAGGGAAGCCACATGGCATCCCTTCTACTGCATTCTGTTCATTAGAAGGAAGTCAATAAGGTTGGCCCATATTCTGTTTTTAAATGGGATGAATATAACCTCGCTTCTGTTCTAATTGACATATATATATATATATATACACACACAACACATACATAATTATGGCCATAGAGTGACATTTTGATACATGTACATAGTGTGTAATGATCAAGCTAACTAGCACATTTACTACTTCAGTCATTTTTCATTTCTTTGAATTATGAACATTCAAAATCTTCTGGCTTTTAAAAAACATACTATAAATCATAGCCATATTCACCCCACAATACCACAAAACACCGGAACTCATTCCTCTTATCTAACTGTAATTCTCTATCCATTAACCAGCCTCCCCTCTCCTACTTCCGTGAACTTTTTTGTTGTTGTTAAGAGACAGGACCTTGCTAGTGTAGTCTGGGCTCTGGGCAACTGTAGTCATCCAGATTGGAGACAGAGGTTTGATCATAGTTCACTGTAGCTTCAAACTCTTGGGCTCACATGATCCTCACACCTCAGCCTCCTGAGCAGCTGGGATTATGGGCATGCAGCACTGCACCTGTCTGATTTTTGACTTTGTACAGATGTCTCCCTATGTTGTCCAGGATGCTCTGGAACTTTTGGCCTCAAGTGATTCTCCTGCCTTGGTCTTTTAAAGTGTTAAGAAATAACAGGCATCAGCCATGTTACCCAGCCCTCAGTTTTTCTTCGGCTCCCACACATAAGTGAGAATGTGCAGTATTTATCTGCACTTAACATAACATCCCTCAGACTGATCCACGTGGCCACAAATAACAGGGTTTAATTCCTTTATATGGTGAATAGTATTCCATTGTGTATGTGTACCACAGGATTTTGTCCATTCATTTGGTTAGTTGACATATAGGTTGATTTGATACATTAGCTGTTGTGAATAGTGCTACAATAAACATGTGAGGACAGGTATCCTTGTGATCTATTGTTTTCTTTTCTGTTGCCTGAATACCCAGTAGTGGGGTTGCTGGGTCCCTGGGCAGTCCCATTATTAGATTTTTGAGAAAAACTCGTGTTGTTTTCTGTAGTGGCTGCACTAATTTACCTTCCCACCAACAGCATGTAAGAGTTTCCTGTTCTCCGGAGCCTCACCAGCATTTGTTATTTTTATATCTTTTCAATGAAGCAATGTATTCAATTGAAGCAAGATTATATCACATTGTAGATTTGATTTATATTTCCCTGAGGATTAGTGATACTGAACATTTTAAATTTATTTGTTGGCTATTTGTAGTTCTTTTTTCTAAAACAAGTATAGTTAGATATTTTGTTCGATTTTGAACTCAGATTTTTTTTTAACAGTCAAGTGTTTGAGTTTCTTGTACATTTTACATATTAGTCCCTTATCAGATGAATAGTTGACAATATTTTCTCCCACTCTACAGGTTTTCTCTTCACTCAGTTGTTTGCTGGCCAGAAGCTCTTTAGCTCAATGTACTACCATTGGTCTGTCATTTGTTTTTTCCTATGCTTCTGATGTCTTACCCATAAAAATCTTTGTGCAGACTAATGTCCTCAAGCATTTTCCCTATATTTACTTACAGTAGTTTGATAATTTGGGGCCTTACATTTCAGTCTTCAATTGATTATGAGTTTCTTTTTTATATGATGTTACAGAGGAAGCTAGTATCATTCTTCCACATATGGATATTTAGTTTTCCCAGTGCCATTCATTTGAAGAGACTGTCCTTTCCCCAATGTATGTTCTTGGCACCTTAGTCCAAAATCAGTTGGCTTTAAATATGTGGATTTATTTCTGGGTGCTGTATTCTATGGCCTTTACCCCAAGAATCATGACTTCTTAAAATGCAATTCAAATTGTCCTGAAACATTTGCAGTCTAAGGAAAGGCTTATGGCATTGAATCCTTATTTATAGGATTCATTATTTTGTGTCTTTTTGAAATATGGTCTTTGTCTGTCATCCAGGCAGAAGTGCAGTGGTATGGTCATAATTCACTGCAGCCCTGAACTCTGGGTACAAGCCATCCTTTTGCCTCAGTCTCCCAACTAGCTGGCTCTACATGCATGAGCCACCATGCCCAGATAATTAAAAATAAGTATATATATATATACACACACACACATACACACACACACACACACACACACATGTAGACATGGGAGTATCACTATTTTGCTCTTGCTGATCTCAAATTCCTGGCCTCCAGTGATCTTTCTGCCACAGCCTCCTAAAGTGCTGGGATTACCGGCATGAGCCACCATCCCTAGTATAGAGTATTAAATTATTTTCAAAGTCTTATTCCCGGAGCCATTTATTGACTTTGGCCTAAATCACCCACTATGATATGTCTGACACCGTTTTGACATATTATGGGGAGTGAGGATGAGGGAGGGGGTTAGACACTTTTCACTGAGAGATCACTTAGTGCCATTGAAGGAGGAACAGAAATGTATTATCAGGAAAATAAAAGTCAGATGAAGTGCAAAAGTTCTCTGGAAAGATGATGACAGTAAAGCATATATTTTTGTGACTCATGGTAGCTTTAACTTTGCTCTTAAAATTCAGAGTAATTTAAGGCTTTACATTTGAAGAATGTACTGTGTTACAGATAACATTTTATTGCAAGTAAATACTTTTCAAAATTTGCTATTGGTTTTGTATTAGATTATTCTTAGTCTATATCAAACTATATTATTTTATTCATGCAGTTTGATGATCTTATGGCAGAGAAGGAAGCTGTATCTTCAAAATGTGTCAATTTGGTGAAAGACAATCAAGTTCTTCAACAGGAGTTATTATCTATGAGAAAAGTACAACAGGAATGTGAAAAACTTGAGGAGGATAAAAAGATGTTGAAAGAACAAATATTAAATCTTAAGACACATATGGAAAACAATATGGTAGAACTTGGCAAAGTACAAGAATATAAATCAGAGCTAGATAAAAAGGCAATGCAGGCAATAGAAAAATTAGAAGAAATCCATTTACAGGTTAGTTTTTTAAATCAAGTAAGTTTATCTGTAATGTGCTTTCATTTATTTCACTGCAAACTGTATTTTGGATATGTATATATTGTGTTTCTTCTGCCTCTCTTGTAGCAATTTGCTTTCTAGAGTTCCAGAAAAAAATGGCATCTGTTTTTTCTTTTAAACATTTAAATTTCCTTTATTACTATAACAAGATCAATCTTTCAGAGTAATGATTCTCACTATGGAGCCATTTGATGATTAAGACCAGTTGGCATAAGAAAAAATTGTGATTTAGAGATTATGTGATACTTTTAAATTGGTCTTAAGCTACATTGTTCTTTGATCACTTTTTAAAATTATGAATGCATTCTATTACTTCTTGTATGACCAGATTACATTAACAGTAACATAATTATGATTTCAAATTTGTATAAATCAGACTTAATTCTGAATTCAGTTATTAGTTTTTTTGATATTGCTGATAAATATGTTAAGCTCCAGCCTCTTTTTTTTTTTCTTTTTTTGAGACAGAGTCTTGCTCTGTCACCCAGGCTGGGGTGCAGTGGCCGGATCTCAGCTCACTGCAACCTCCGCCTCCTGGGTTTACACCATTCTCCTGCCTCAGCCTCCCGAGTAGCTGGGACTACAGGCGCCCGCCACCTCGCCCGGCTAGTTTTTTGTATTTTTTTAGTAGAGATGGGGTTTCACCGTGTTAGCCAGGATGGTCTCGATCTCCTGACCTCGTGATCCACCCATCTCAGCCTCCCAAAGTGCTGGGATTACAGGCTTGAGCCACCGCGCCCGGCCCAGCCTCTTTTTTTTTTTTTTTTTTAACATATTCAAAATTGCTCTTTGAATCACTGACTCAAAATGAAAGGCAAAAAAATATGGTAATTAGGTTATAATTGTTTTAAAAATGTATTCTTTTCATTCATTTTAGACACAAGCACAACATGAAAAACAATTGGAGCAGTTAAGCAAGGATAACATGGCTTCACTAAATAAGAAGGAACTCATGCTTAAAGATGTGGAATGTAAATTCTCCGAAATGAAAACTGCTTATGAAGAGGTTACAACCGAATTGGAAGAATATAAGGAAGCCTTTGCAGCAGCATTGAAAGCTAACAATTCCATGTCAAAAAAAATAACAAAGTAAGTCAAAACATACAATTGTAGGAAATGAATTAAGCTCATTAATTTGTTTTGAAAACATAATTTTTAGTGAGATGGCTTCAGGAGATTAGTACGAAGTGAATGCCAATTTGATAATGTAATTTTGGAAAATAATGTTAGTAAATAATCTTACCTTTAAAATATTAATCAAGGATAATGTCTGTCCCATTTCTATTTTTTATTTTTTTTTTTTGCTTTTGTATGACTTTTTTCCTCTGAAAACTCTCATGTAGTTAATCTGATCTGTTAGTTTTTGTCACTAAGTATTTTTGAAGCTTTATAATTCATAAAGCGATCTTGTTATAAAATTACTTGTCAGAGTTTCCCTAAATAGAAAGATTAATGAGTTTAATTTATTCTTCGGTAGATCACAACCTACACCCAAAGTGTCGAGTGGTACTGCTACTCTGGGCACAATCGTTTTTAATTGTGATTTTTAGTATTATCAATAGAGGGTGTCTCAAGAAAGACTATTTGTGTAACATTTTCAAGATGTTACAGAAAGGCATCCTTGTGAAATAGGGAATAATTATCAAGGAATTTAAAGAAGTGTAATTCACAAAGTGGTTAAAAAGTAACACCTTGTTCAGCCTGAAGATTTGTGTGGAAGGCAGAAAGAACAAGCCCCCCACTCCAGTGCCTTGGTCACAGTGCTGGGGACTAATTGCCTTCAGCACTGCTTTAGTTCTTTTTATTCCAAGCCACACCATCTAGTTCTCCCCAGGAGCTGTTGCTCTGAGTTCTTCCTCAGTGCCAAATGCTTAATTGTTCCCAGATAATGGGTGAAATGTCCAAGGGTGAAACCTAAAATTTCTTTACTAAACACAACTATTCCTAGATTTTTTTTTTGTTCATTTTAGTTTTCTTAACCTACCTCAAGGAGTACAACATGATGTTTTGATATAATGATTTCCAGTGAAGTGGTTCTTATACTCCAACAAATCAACATATTCATTTTCCCGCATAGTTACCCTTTAAATACAAGTATTTCTAATGGAATCTTTAGAATCGCACAAGTGGAGCCATTTTAGAAAGCAGCAAGTTTCACCTGGTGAGCCGTGCATCACTGACAGCCGTTTCTCTCCCCTGTCTACTTTGTTTGAACTGCTTGTTCAGTATAAATTACCTTAGAAACACGGGTGCTTCTTTAGGCTTACAACAGGTATGCTGTCACACATCTTCGGTGTGAAAACACCGTTTAGTGGGTACTTTGGTTTACTCTCAGGGCAACGTTTTTAAAACTGCAAGTCATTAAGAATCATTTAAGGAAAAATGAAATACTAAGCATTTGTCTTTGCTGTCTTTACAGATCGAATAAGAAAATAGCAATGATCAGCACCAAGCTCCTTATGGAGAAAGAGCGGATGAAACATTTTCTCAGCACTCTTTCTACAAGGCGAGACCCAGAGTCACCTTGTGTTGGAAATCTTACTAGTAGAGGACTCAACAGAAAATATATTCCCCAAATGCCCATCAGAATTCCTACTTCAAACCCACAGACTTCAAATAACTGCAAGAACTACTTCACTGAGGTTAGTTACATGATCGTTTCTCTTTTGGCTTTCATTTCTCTAATATAATTCCTCTTTGTAATTTGGTGAAATACTGAGTTGTTCTGTTGACTTATGCATGTTAAGTAAACATCATAATTAGCTATGTTAACACAGAAAGGAAATGGGAACTTTTCATTTTTTAATTCCCTGGAGCTCCCATTTTCAAGAGATACCCATTTCCTAGCTTTATTCAATACATGTGACTAAACTGACACATTTAAAATGTCTTTAAAAGCTGCATTTAAGTTAGGTTTTAGAAATTGCATGTTATTGCCTAATAACTGACGATATACCTTGAGATGCTTTGGCTTACTCTCTAATTCTAGTTTAGTTGCAGTGCATACTACCGCCTTTTTCTTTTCTTTTCTTTTCTTTTCTTTTCTTTTTTTTAATACAGTGTCTCACTCTGTTGTCCAGGCTGGAGGGTCGTGGCACCATCTCGGCTCACTGCAACCTCCACCTCCGAGGTTCACATGATTTTCCTGCCTCAGCCTCCCAAGTAGCTGAGACTACAGGCGCCCACCATTACACCCAGCTAATGTTTGTATTTTTAGTAGAGAAAGGGTTTCACCCTATTGGCCAGGCTGTTCTCAAACTCCTGACCTTGTCATCTACCTGCCTCAGCCTCCCAAAATGCTGGGATTACAGGCATGAGCCACTGCGCCCAGCCCATGTCACTTTTAAAGTTTGTTTGCAGCAGACACCACGGTGACTCATGCCTGTAATCCCAGCACTTTTGGAGGCTGAGGCAGGTGTGTCACAAGGTCAGGAGTTCAAGACCAGCCTGGCCAAGATGGTGAAACCCCATCTCTATTAAAGTACAAAAAAAATTAGCCGGGTGGGGAGTGGGCACCTGTATTCCCAGCTACTAGGGAGTCTGAGGCAGAGACTTGCTTAAACCTGGGAAGCAGAGGTTGCAGTGAGTCGAGATCACACCACTGCTCTCCAACCTGGGTGACAGGGCAAGACTCCATCTTGAAAATAAAAACTTTTAAAAAAAGTTTATTTGCACCATCTCAACTCTTCCCACCCATAATCACAACTGAATGATTGGCATCCAAACACTTTACCACATATGGATGTTTATTATTTAGTAGAATCCAATTTAATTGCATTTTATGAATTAAACAAAACCCTAAAATGTTAATTTCCTTTTTTATGTTAAAAGCTTTGTGCTTGGCCAGGCGCAGTGGCTCAGACCTGTAGTCCCAAGGCCTAGAAGTTTGGGACGAGGAGACAGGTGGGACGCTGAGACAGGTGGGACGCTGAGACAGGTGGAACACCTGAGGTCAGGTGATTGAGACCACCTTGGCCAACATGATGAAACCCGTCTCTACTAAAAATACAAAAATTAGCAAGGCATGTTGGCAGGCATGTGTAATCTCAGATACTCGGGAGACTGAGGGAGGAGAATCACTTGAACCCAGGACACAGAGGTTGCAGTAAGCCCAGATCATACCACTGCACTATATCCTGGGTGATGGAGACTATCTCAAAAAAAAAAAAAAAAAATCAGTTTGTGCCTTTCTTACATAAGAGTACGTCCTCTGACTATAAAAATCCTGGAAGAAATCCTAGGAAATGCTCTCCTGGATATCATGCTTGTCAATTAATTTATGGCTAACTCCTCAAAAGCAACTGTAAGAATAACAAAATTGACAAGTGTGGTCTAATTAAGCTAAAGGGCTTCTGCACAGCGTGAGGAACTATCACTGGATTAAACAGATAGCCTAAATAATACAAGAAAATATTCACAAAGTATGGATACAGCAAATGCTTATTATCCAGAATCCATAAGAGACCTAAACAAATCAAAAAGCGAAAAATAAATAACACCGTTAAAGCTGGGCAAAGGCCATGAACAGACATTTCTCAAAATAACACATGTAAGTGGCCAACAAACACATTAACAAATGCTTACCATTGATAATCATCAGAGAAATGCCAAATAAAACATCAGTGAGATACCATTTCACACCAGTCAGAATGACTTTTGTTAAAAAGTAAAAACATATATATATAAACATATATATATATATATATATGTTGGGGAGGCTGTGGAGGAAAGGAAACACACACTGTTGGTGGCAATATAAATTAGTTCAGCTGCTATGGAGAGCAGTTTGGAAATTAAGTACTAAGAATGACCGTTGGATGAAGCAACCTCATTACTCTACTAGGGGTATGCCTAAAGGACAATAAATCATTGTAACATAAAGATGCATGAACTTGTGTGTTCATTGCAGCACTATTCAAAATAGCAAAGACGTGGAGTCAATCCAGGTGCATCCAAGGTAGATTGAAAATCCAGGCTAGATTGGAGAATTCCATATATACAATGGAATACTTTGCAGCCATGAAAAGAACAAAATCAGGCCCTTTGCAGCAACGTGGATACGGCTGGAATCTACTACCCTACTCAAACTAACACAGAAACAGAAACCAGATATCTCCTGCTTTCACTCATGTGAGAGCTACACATTGGGTGCACATTATCATAAACATGGGAATAATAGACACTGAGAAATAAGAACGGGGAGGGACAGAGTGGGCCAGGGTTGAAAAACTACTTATTGGGTCATATGCTCACTACTTGTGTGATGGGTTCAATTGTACTCCAAATCTTGGCATGCCTCAATATACCTTTGGAAAAAACCTCCACAGGTACCACCTTAATTGAGAATACAAACTAGAAAAAAAAATTAATAAAAGAAAAATTTACCATAAAAAAGTTTAGTATAAGTAGAGAAATTTCTTTTTAAGATAAAAATTTATTGGAGTAAAAAAACAGATTAAACTTTTATAAAGGGGAGAGTTCTGCTAAGAATTTCAAAGTAATACATTCATTGTAAAAGATGACTTTGATTTTTTTTTTTTTTCTTTTTTGAGAAAAGGTCTCACTCTGTTGCCAGTCTGGAGTGCAGTGGTGCAATATTGGCTCACTGCAACCTCCAACCCCTGGCTTCAAGCAATTTTCCTGCCTTAGCCTCCCAAGTAGCTGGGACTACAGGTGTGGGCCACCACGTCTAGCTAATTTTTGTATGTTTAGTAGAGACCAGGTTTCCTCATGTTGGCCAGGATGGTCTTGATCACCTGACCTCGTGATCTTCCCGCCTTGGCCTCTCCAAGTGCTGGGATTCCAGGCATGAGCCACCACACCTGGCCATTGTTTAACCTTTGTACTAATAAACACCACCTTTCTAAAATTATTTCTATGCAATAGACCAATATTAACTGTGTTTTTGTCCAATTACTCTAAGCAACATTACACAGATACATCCTCTGTTATGAAAATTAAAATAAGTAGAAAATTTACTTTATGTATGTGATTATTTTTCTTTTGAAGCAAACTTCAAGTTATGTCTAGTCACTAAAAATACTAAAGACCACAATTTGTAAGTGATATATTATTTTCATGATAATGTTGCCTGTTTAACTTAAACATTATTATTATTTTCACTTATTTTAGATGGAGCCGGACCGTGTAGAACAAATAATTAGAGAAACAAAGAGAAGTATGTTACCAAAATTTATTCCTTAAATTTAGGTTTATTTTAGAAATAAAATTTAATAACAAATGGCATTCCTTTTCATTGTTGGGTTAGTAGATACCACCTTAAGTATTTTTCTCTTATGCACATCTAATGAAAGATATGAAAACAAAAACTTCCAGAGAGAAGACTGTCCTTGTGCACAATAAATTCATCACATCCCATAGCTTCAAAAATTCCCAAGAAGTCTATGCATCTCTTTTTCACTGGCTCTACACTTTGTTAAGTTTTGCCATCCTCATGGAACTGTCAGCCAGCACCCTGAAACGATTCTCAGAAAACAAAGGCATCATCAAGTTCTCAGGGTTTTGGTAGAGATTGAAGGCCAACAGATGTCAAATTCATTCAGAAATACTTAGCTGAGCAATAACCCTTCGTAGGCAGTCACTTGACAAGTGACATTTTAAATCTCCTGTCATTTACTGTGTCATTGGCTTACGTCTGTTCTCAGGAAAAGTTCCAACTTTTTCACCATGAAATAAAAACACCCACGTCAATGTGATTCCTGTCAAGTTACTCAACCTTGTCTCTCACCACTTACTGCACTCTGCCCTTTGCTCTAGCGCCAAACTGGACGGAGCGGAACTCTGCAGGGCTCTTCCCCACCTCAGGCTCTTTGCCTGCACCTCTTCCCTCTCTCTGATGAGCTTTTCCTTGTCCTTCAGGTATCAAGTTATATTATCTCCTCCACGAGAAAGCCCATGATATTGACATAAAAGTGGGATAGAGGACCCTTCTGTGTGTTCCAGTAGTGCCCTGCTGTATACCTCTCGTGTATCCATGACTCTATATGGATATTGTCTTGTCTGGTTTTTTTGGGTATAGCTTATGACTGTTGGGAGGTGGACCATACCATCTTCATCTTGAAATTCTAGTGCTGGTTCTAGAATCTTAGCACGTGTCTGTTGAGTAGATGAATGAAGAATGAAAAAGCTCTGATATTTAAACACAATTAGATTTAATGCCATGTGTAAATTATTTAATAGTAATTTTGTATTGTAAATGTACATACATATTTCTCATTCTTATTAACTCTGATAAAGTTCTCAACTCTTTAGTTTTTAAAATCACACTTGAGCTAACCAAAGTGTTTTAGGTAAAGAACATAATTCTTTGTTTTTCTTTCCAGCTGTTGCTGTGTTGGACACTTTCACCCGTCTACTTTCTTCTACAGAATCCACTGGTAAGCCACGTCTAATCAAGAGAATATTTAACCATAAAATCATAAGGACAAATTTTGTGATATAAAAGATTATAAAATTTTATTACTGGGCTATTTACACAACATTTTAATTGTTTCTCATAAAATATACAACATCACAATCTTTACTGAAGTAGGATATTTTTGTATCATATGCATGAAGATAACTTGTAGGGTATTTTAAATGATGTTTTTCAGTCTCCTTCAGTTTTAAGTGGATCTTGCAGATGAAAACCAGTATTATTGAGTTTGACATACTCAGATTGCCCAAATGCCAGCTGTTTAAACAGCCAAACAACCAAGTCATCATTGATTCTTTAGTAAAGGTCATCGAAGACTTATTTGCATGTCACAGTTTTTATTACTTAGGAGACCTAAGGAGTACCTGCCAGGCTTGTCCATGCTAATGTTATGATTTTCTTTTTGTAGTTGAACCGTATTTTGTGTGGTGATGATCTGAGGCTCTGTAAATATCTGGTTACTCCTCAAAACACACTAGATTTGGCATTTCATGGATGACTTGTGTTTGAGCAATTATTACTGCAATGGTTGCCAGGTGATTATTTTCTGATTCTCTTCTTTGTTCTACATGGAGAAATAAAAACAATAAATAAGGGAGAAGGGAAAGCTCATGATTCTGGTGCTCCAATTCCCCAAGATTAGGCCAGTGGTAGATATTCTAAGCTGACTCTTTATGTCTTTTTGATTTGTGCCTGTTACTCTGTCAGCACTTTTTTACTTTCTGGCACAAGATGTTCTAAGATAATCTTGTGTTTTCTCTGCCCCAGCCCTGAAATGAGTGATTTTTTTTGGAATCAGAGGTGGAGCCACTGAGGAAGCATAGGCGAGCCCTCCCCAGCATGTGCTCACTGGTCCTCAACAGAAGAACAGCTGCTGAATCCACTGAGGTACCAAGAAACTAGCAAAGGGCCTTCTGGCTGTCTGGGGACAGTCTTCATGTGGTCCCTGGCTCAGCCTCAAGGGTTCTGGGTTAGTCTCCCTGCAGCCTCTGTGCTGTGTCTCTAGATCGGGCTCTGAGGGAAGGGCCCAGGAGACCCAGCAGCACAGGGTGTCTCGTCTGCCAAATGTCCCTCCCTTCCTCCCACTCTGACACTCAGGAATAGGGTAGATGGGGTTTCCAGGCTGTGCCAGGCCACCTCACTGTCTCCTCTGAGATGAACCCTGAGGGCCTTAGGGGATGAGTGTGAAGCTGGCTACCTGGAGCCTGAGGCTGACTGTCTCTCCCTGTGTCTTGGAGGAGAGGCCTTGTCCCAAGAAAACCCCCAGGGCCTGACCCCTGGGCATGCATGCAGGGAGGGAGGGTCTGTGGGCTAAGGGGGGGCATGGTAATGAGACTTTAAGCAGCACTGTTCAGGGGCCGGGTGGGTAGACCGTGGTCAGAAATGACCTGGTCATTAGGACCTAGTCAGTTGGTACCTGATCACCAGGGGCCTGGTTAGTGGTGTCCTCCTCAGTAAAGTTCTCATCAGTGGGGACCTGGCAACCTAGTCATTGGAAGCCTGGTCAGTGGGGACCTGGTCAGTGGGGGTCTTATTAGTGGGGCCTGATCGGTTGGAACATAAACAATGAAAAACTGGTTGGTGGGGCCTATACAGTATACCAGGGGCCTGGTCAGTGTGGGGCCTTAGTGGCTTGGAGCTTGGTCAGTGAGGGCCTGGTCAGAGGGGACTTGGTCCGCTGGGGACTGATCCATGGAGATTTGTTCAGTGAGGGATGGGGGGGTGGCAACCTGGGAAATTGTGGTCTTGTCAGTGGGAACCTGGGCAGTGGGGACCAGGTCAGTGGGAAATTGGTCAGTGGAGTCTGGCCCATGAGGCCGATTAAGTGTGAGCCTGGTTAGGAAGACATGGTCAGTTGGGACTTGGTCAGTGGGACCTGGTCAATGGAGGAGTGGTCATTAGGGTCCTCATCAGTAGGGATCTGGTCAGGGGCGGCTGGTCAGTAGGAACCTGGCCATCTGGCCACTGTGTGACCTCAGGCAGAGGGTTTGTCTGTGGAGTCTCCTTGCTTCCATCTGCAGGGAAGGTGAGTCAGGGCACCCTGGCAGGTGGTTGGTAAAAGAAGATGAGAAGATGTGTTGTATCCAGCACTGTTTGGCAGACCTACAACTTTACACAGGACCTGTATTCCACCTAGAGAGGATGCCAGCCCTTTCTGCTCTACCCGGTGCCCCTCCTTTGTCTGCATCCCCAGGACCCCCATGGATGGGGAAGGCAGAGATTGGAGAGCACCTGTAGAGGCTCTAATGCTGGCCACGGGCCCTGGTTGTGACAGTGGTGAGACCTGGGTGCTCCCCTGAGTGTAGAAGCTAAGCCTGGCCAGAGAAGCAAGACAAACACACACATACGCACACACACAGGCACACACACATGCACAAACACACTGCATGCACACGTGTCAGTTCAGGGGGTAGAGGACACTGACTCTGGGCCCTCTTGACCCAAGCAGGCTCCAGTTGTGCTGGGTTGTGTCACCCCACGATGTCACTGTTGCTGAGCCCCCATCGCCTCTGTGTTGTGGAGCAGTTAGAGGTACACAGCAGAGTCCGTGAGTGGCTCTGCATGAAGGACTGTTTTCTACATGAGAAGCACATCTCAGCACAGCTGACTCATCAGACTCAGGTGAGTGGAACCTGCTCTCTTCTCTTCCTCCTGGCTTGGGGACAGTCGCTATCAGGTGGGTGGTTTTGGCCTCTGGGCAGTTACTGAGGATAAACCCTAAACAGTCACCGGGTGCCTGTTCTGTGCTGACAGTCATCTCATTCATCCTCACAGCAATTCCATTCTGAATCTCCTCTGGACACCCCCAGGACCACCAGGACAACCCCATCAGGGCCCTGTCACCAGGCCCAGTCTGGCTCCATGATAACCAAGACGCAGGTCCAGAGACAAGCGCCCTGCATGGTGCCTGCATGTGACTCCCCTTGGTGGGTAGTGACCAGCTCACCACGGAAGAAGCCAGGGCAGCATGCGGCCAGCTGCCCTGCAGCCTCAGATGACTCCTGGGCCTTAAGAAGTCATTCTTAAAGGGAAAGCTGGTCACTTTGAGGTCCCTGGAAGGAAGGGTGAATGTGTCATCCCAACAGCCCTGGCAGCCAGCAGCATGCCATTCATCTTCTCACCCGATCTTTGTGACAGAGGCCACCTTCTGGGGCACAAGTCCCATACCTAAAGGGTCCTATCTCAGTCGGCCTCATCCTGAGCCCTGGGATGGGAGAGGCACCATGCACCCCCCTGCAGCAGCCAGGATTACCACCCAGGGGACTCATCCTTCTGTGGCCCTGGCCAGACTTAGAATTTGGCCCAAGACAGGACAAGCTCAGTCAGAGCAGCTTGTCAGTACCCAGAGTCTATGTATGCCAGACATGGCCAAGCTGGCTCAAAGAGCAACCAGCCACCTCTGGAAGGGTGTGCCAGGAGCAGGTGGACCAGCCACCAACCTCATCCACTCAAGTAAACAGAGATGGCCAGCTTCTCACACCCTGAGTGACCACCACCTGACAGCTGATGAAGTGGAGGCCTGAGGAAAAGCAGATGGCACTGGGGCCCTGCTTTCAGGGCAGAATAACTGATTGACCCTGACTGGCAGTGAGTTGGTGACTGGTCCACCTGCTCCTGGCACACCCTTGCAGAGGTGGCTGGTTGCTCTTTGAGCCAGCTTGGCCTTGCCTGGCATGCACAGGCCTCAGTGCAACAACTGCGCTGCAAATGGAGCCACATAGAGGATATGAGCAGCAGGCTCAGGAGCAGGCTGTGCGCTGCCTTTGGGGCTCCAGCCCATGCATCAGGGCTCCTACAGCACTGTGGGCTTCTTGGGTGCCATGAGGCAGACCACAGGCCATCCTGAGGAGGACTCTGGTAAGAGCTTCCTTGTGTATGTGGATGATGTCCAGGATGTTGGCCTGGTGTCCCTGAGGCAGCACTAACAGGTCCATGACTGGGTCCAGGTCCTGCCTGGGCTGATTGGTGAAGATCTCCCTGGCAGCACTGAAGTGGCATCTATGTTCAAGTGCAGAAAGGGCCCAGTCTGGTGGATGAACCACACGGCCAGCTTCTGGGTGTGGGCAGGATGCCACATCCTTTGTCACTTCCTGATGTGCCCCACCAGCACTGAAGAGACAGCCTGGAGACAGGGCAAGAGGAAGGCTGAGAAGGATGAGATGGTGAGTCCCAGATTCTTCCTGTCCCTGAGCCCACCCTGAGTGACCCTCAACCTTTAGGAATGGGAGAGCAAGATTGACAGCTTCAAGTACTTCACCAAGAAGATGGACAACAGGGCACTCAGCTCAACTTCACAGCCAATGAGTTGACATGCAAGCAGATGATGGTAACAGGCTTTAAGAAAGAACATCAGATGGCAGCCAGTACTTCAGCCTCAGCCAGGCATTGGAGTCAGACCAGGCCATCCACTTTACCATAGAGGCCTTCCACGCTATCAGTGAGCTCTTTGCCAGTCAGCCCAGGCAGGACCTGGACCCAGTCATGGACCTGTTAGTGCTGTCTCAGGGACACCAGACCAACATCCTGGACATCATCCACATGCACAAGGACGCTCTTACCAAAGTCATGGAGAGCCAGCAATATGTGGCAGAAGTGAAGACAGAGGTGCAGAGACTGATGACGTCAGAATCACAGGAACAGGATTTCTTTGGCTACTTTGGCTGAAATTCACCACTTTCATCCAATTCGAGTGAGAGACATAGACTCACAGATGCTGCATTTCTTGCAGCAAAAGATACTGTTTTTTCAAAGTCACCCAGGAATTGATAGTGTTGAATGACTAGATACTCGATCATGGACTGTTTTGAGTTCAAGAATTCATTCTACAGAGAATAATAACACTAGAGCAAAGAGCTAGTGTCCGATATCGGTGGTAGCACAAAGATGGTTTTGTGATCAACTGAAATCCAGCTGAATACAGAATTGTGTAGGAAACAGTTAATATGATGATACAATAGAAACAGTAGCAAACATGAATTAAATCATGCTATGAATGCATAAACTACCATTGTAACTTTTGAAAGAATGATAATACCACTTTACTGCTTTTTGAAGTATGAATATTTTAGTGTATGTGCTATAGGCCTCAAATCCTATAAAGAATCTCCAAGAAGTTGGCTGGATAAAGCCTGCTGTGGATGTCTTTATACTCAAAGATTGATGATGTAATTTGCATGTTTGTCCCCACCAAATCTCCTGTTGAATTATATTTCCTATTGTGGAAGGTGGATCCTGGTATAAGGTGATTGAATTATGAAGGCAAATTTCTCATGAATGGTTCAGCACAATCCCCTTGTAGCATCCTCACAATCATGAGTAACTTCTCATGAGATCTAGTCACTGAAAACTCTACGTCACCTCCCTACTCTCCGTGTTTTCCTCTTGCCATGTGAGACAACTTACTCTTTCTTTGTCTTCCACTTCCACGATGATTGATAGATGTCTGAGGCCTCCCAGAAGCAGAAGCCACTGTGCTTCCTGTCCACTCTGCAGAACCATGAGTCAATTCAACCTCTTTTTCAAAACAAATCATACAGAAAATGGCAAATGAGGATTGGAGCATTGCTATAAAGATACCCAAGAACATGGAAGCAGCTTTGGGACCATGTCATGGGCAGAGGTTGGAAGAGTTTGGAGGGCTCAAAAGAAGACAGATAGATGAGAAAACTTTTGGAACATCATAAAGACTGGTTAAATGGTTGTGACAAAAATCCTGACGGAAACATGGACAGTGAAGGCCAGGCTGAGGAGGTCTCAGATATAAGAAGATTTCTGGAAAATGTCTTTCTTTTGGA